GGAGGGGAGGAGTGTGCTGTCGCAGAGTGGGGTGAGTGGTTGGGGTCTCATAACAATGTATGTTAAAAAAAAAATTCTGTATGGGAGACTAACTTCAAATGTAAACTTCATTTAATTACAACAATAGAAAGAAAGATTCTTGCAGAACTTAATTCTGTTAATATTTTTCAGTCAATTTTGATCCATGTCCTAGAAGTGAATTTATTGAACAGGCTTCAAAAGTATGAAACTATCCACATATACGATACGGTAGAGCCATGGAGGAGAGCTTTCTGAACTTTTTCAGGTTAATGACTGCACCTGTCCATCTATTTGGTGTGAATTTATGTGTGCTTTATTTCACATTCCAGATGATCTTAACATAGGTGGCATCATAGCAGCTGTAGTTGTTGTGGCTTTAGTGATTTCCATTTGTGGCCTTGGTGTGTGCTATGCTCAGAGGAAAGGCTACTTTTCAAGTAAGTGAATTTTACCTTTGTTTGATAGACAACTTCCTATGGAAATACAGTTTTCTTATTAGACACTATTTTTCCTAAGAAATTCTAACAAACTCTGGAGAATATTTTTCATCAATTTTCTGAAGTAGAAAATGCCTAGATGGCACACAGGTGGGTTTTGAAGCACCTTGGAAGGCACGGGGAGAAAAGGCAGAGTAGCCTGATTGCCAAATGTCAGGGAACACCACAAAATATGTGAGAGGGACCCTGGGAGAGCAGCAATACTGTGAGAGGACTTCCACATGGATGGATATTTATAGTTGGAGCCCTGGTGGCACAGTGGTTAAGAGCTTGGCTGCTAACCAAAAGGTCGGCAGTTTGAGTATACCTGCCGCTCCTTGGAAACCCTATGGGGCAGTTCTACTCTGTCCTTTAGGGTTGCTATAAGTCAGGATTGACTTGGTGGCAACGAATTTCTTCTTTTTTTATACACGTAGTTAAGATCTTCGTGTTTTTAAGGTAGGAATTGTAGATCTCAATATGAAAATTGATTTCTAGTTTTATGATTAAGAAATTTCATCAAAATAAATCAGTGGAAAGTTAGATCAGTGTAGAACAGTGAAATGTTGAATGCAAATTTAGCACAATGGTATTTAGAAAAGAATTGTTCAAGAAAAACCAGACCTATAGTATTAGAGTTGCTTTTGAACAAAGATTTAATTTCTTCAAGTTTAGAGCTCATGTACCTCCAAACCCCCACTGAGTGATGTAGTAGGTTTGATGTAAAGGAGTGAGACTTAAAAATAATATATTTTATTGTCTTAATGCATCTCTTCACTCCCAATCTTTAAAATTATTTCAACGCTCAAAAGCTGCAGAATTCTATCACTTCCAGTGGCAATGGTGTACAAAGTAGAATTTTTTAATGGAATAATAAATGTATAGTATGAATAAATTTAAGGTCCACAGTGAACATTAGTTTTGGAATTTAGGTTTTAAAATATATTATACCAAAAATAAAAGTTAAATTTAAAAGAGGTTTCTAATATTAGCTGTAAAATATACGTTGTACACAAATATGTATTATGTATCATAAAATGTTTCTGTGAACATAGTTTCAAGGGGATTCCTTATAATTAAGAAAATTGCTCTGTAAATTATAATAATCATTCTTGTGTATAGCACTCTAATCTAGCCCAATGTAATGTAATTTTATGAACGGAATTCAGCTGAGGCCCCTGCTGGTCACCAGTGGAAGTACAGACAGATGAGATTGCTCTTTTAAAATTCTTGTCATTTTTATCCTTTCAAAGAATACCTGTCAAGAGTATTTTTAATGAAGATTTGGTAAACAAACTTTCCCTAAAATACTAAATTAATTAAAGAGTTGGCTTAGATATTAGGAGATCACTAGCTAAGAATGCTACTCCTGTTTGGAACTGGCAGAAAAGTTATCTAAGAAGAACCATTTTCTTGAACTTGCATTTAGAACAGGGATAGCAAACTGCGGCCTGTGAGCCAGATCTGGACTACTGCCTGTTTTTCTGTGGCCTATGAGCTAAGGATGATTTTTACGGATAAGCATTTGATGATAGGGAACATTAACTTTGAGCCCCAATTAAGAGAAACGTTCTCCCCCAAAAGGAATTCCATTCTTCTCATTAGTAGACCTGTATTATAAAACTTTGATGATGGTTATTATTTTTAATTTCATCAAAAAAATTTTTTTTTGAAATGTGTTCTTATAATACCCACATAATATCTTTGACTTTGCCTCTTGGTCTGCAAAGCCTGAAATGTTTACCATCTGCACCGTCACAGAAAATGTTTGCCAACCCTTGATTTGGAAGGTACAAATAGCAAATGAGGATCAAGACTGAGGAAAAGAAATTAAGCTATAGCTCATTTTTCTATGAATCTGTATCATGCCGTATTAACTCTTGTATTAATGATATGCACTTATTCTTTTGTAGAAGAATCCACCTTTCAGTAAGTATACTTTCCTTAAGATGCATGCTTTTTTTCCTATAACAACTAATTTTCTGCCAATCATTGTTTTAATGTAAAATGTGGGAAGTTGGGTTATTTGTGTAGGTTTAGTCTTATTGGGAGGTTACTCAAGTTCATCGAGAAAGACATCACAACTCATGTCTCAACGCCTGCTTATAAATAATGTTTGGTTACCTAGACAAGAAATATGTTCAGTACTTGAACTTCATAGTCATTTCCATAGTATTTCTTTTAAAAGGCATTTGTTGCATTTCACTAAGTTGAAAATTGTCAAATAAAATTTTACTTACAGTCATTTTTTTCATCGTCAGATATTTATTGAATACCTACTTTGTGTCCAATACTGCTATAAGGACTGAGGACGTAGCAGTGGACAGAACAGACAAAAAAAAAAAAAACTCCACATGATGGAGCTTACATTCTACTAGAGAAAGACAGAGGGAAACAAATAAGCAAACTCTATAGCATGTCAAATGGTGATAAGTATTACAGAGAAAAATAAAAGTTACGAGGATCAAGAATATACAGGGTAGGAGTGGAGACTGGCATTTAAAATAGGATGGTCAGGGAAGGCGTCACTGATAAGATGATGCTTGAGAAAGACCTGTAGGAGGTGAGGGAACAAGTTGTAAAGATATCCATGAGAAAAGCATTCAAGCAGAGGGGAGAGAACAAATGGGAAGATGGTGAGGCCAGGTGTGCCTGGAGTACCTGAGGAACAACAGCAAGAGGACCAGTGGGATTGAAGAGTGAGGGAAGGGAGAGAATGGGAGAGAGCTGAGCAGAAGAAGCAAGGCCTGGTGGTGTATAGCCCCTTCTTGGCAATTTCGAGGACTTTGACTTTGGTTCTTAGTAAGATGGGAAATCATTGGAGGGCTTTGAGCATAGGTGTAGCATCATCTTACTTACCTCTGAAAAGGTTCACACTGGCTGTTCTGTTGATAATAAACTATAAGGTGGCAAAGAGAAGATGAAAGGAGACCAGTTAGGAAGCGACTGCAGTAATCTAGGCAAGACAGGATGGCACGGGGACCAAAGCAGTGGTGTTGGAGATGGTGAGAGTGATTGGAATCTGGATATATGTTTAACAATTTGCTGTTTGGTAGGATGCAGGTAGGACTGATAGTGCAGTGGTTAAGCACTTGGCTGTTAACTGAAAGGTTGGTGGTTCAAACCCACCAGCTGCTCCATGGGAGAAAGGTGTCGCAGTCTGCTTCTGTAAAGATTACATACAGCCTTGGAGACTGTATGGGGCAGTTCTCCTGTGTCCTATGGGGTTGTTATGAGTTGAAATCAACTCAATGGCAACAGGTTTGGTTTTTGGGGGGTTTAAGCTGAAGGTAATGAGAAAAGAGAGAAATCAAAGATGGCTCTAAAGTTACATGAAATATGGAGTTACCATTTACTGAAGTGTGGGAGGTTTTAGGAGGAGTGGGGTTGAGAACGGTGGTGGGGATGAGTGGAAAACATCTGGAGTGTTTTGGACATTTAAAATTTGAGATGCTTATTAGACTTTCAAGTAGAGGTAATCAGCGAGAAACTGAATATATGAATCTGGAGTTTGGGGAAGCATCTTAACTAGAGATAGAAATTTAGAGGAGTCATTGGTGCATGAGACATGGATGAGATCACCAGGGTCCCCAATTTATATGCCCTTGATTTGTGGCTGTCCTTATACATGCAGAAATGGCAGACCCAAATTTGGCCTATGGACATTCCCCTCTACTTTCAGCTGTTATGACTTCAGATACCTTCATTTGAAGACTTAGTTCCCATTAATTTCCTGTTCCCAGACTTCCTCCTCAACTTGGTCTCTAGGTCTCATAATATCCCAGTACAAGTCTAATATGAAATCCAAGTCATTGGGACTAGCACTAGCAAAGGGAGTGAGTTCAGAAAATTAAGGCAGGCCTGATTGTGTAGCTACACTCCCTTCTGGTAATAATGAGGACTTCTACTTTTATTGAGTAAAATGGAAATTCACTGGGGAGTTTTCAGCAGAGAAGAGACATCATCTTATATAGGGGGAAAAGTTGGCATTGCTGGGTGACAGGGTTAGTCTTCCCTTCAGTCACAATGTTTCCACCAACCCAGGCAATAATCTGGGATGCGGTATCTATATTCCTAGACACAACTCCTCCCAGTCCTTAAATCCACAGCCCTCAAATTTTGTTGAATGATGAACTAGATTACTGGAACTCTAGCCACCACCTACAACTTTCTTTCCATGGAAAAAATTGCATTTCGAGATTATAATAATCAACTTAAAATCAAGCATTCAAAATGTTAAATGTTAATAAGTTGAAAGCTGTGTCTGGTTTCTCATATACAAAAAAATCTTTAGTACACTAACCTAGGTTACATTTAGATGCATGGACGTTTCATGCATGGCTTTCTCTGTCGATATTATCCATAAGTATAAGAGATTTAATGAGAGATTGCTGGCTTTTGTTCTACCTGGTTAAGATAAATGTCTGTCTTCCTGCTGAGAAAATGTGTGGGGGTAACATTACCTAAAAGAGGATATGTGTTTCAGAATTAAAAGTGATAATGTAGTAAATACTGTCTTTTATGTTCCACAAACAGGAAGAACAGTTCTGCATCTAAAGCCACTACACTGAGTGAAAATGTGAGTCCTCTTTAAGCATAATTATGGAATGGATGTGTTTAGGGAAGAGGGCGGGGAAGCGAAGTAACTATACGGCAATGGTGGACTTTTCCTTTGTACTAGTGTCTATCCCTAGTGTTTAGAAGAAGCTAAACAAATGTCAGCTTCCTTCCCCCATCTAGGGTGGCATGAGAAAATACCCAGCATCTGTAGAACCATTATAGAAAGTGATCTTTACCACGTCATTATTATCCTCATGATGCTTTCTATTGTTATTCTGACTCTGTAATATTGCTAGGTCTGGCATTACCAGCTCCAATTTATAAATGAGGAAATGAGACCCATGTTTTCACAGGAAAATGGTGATGGAGCTGGGACCCAGCTACCTCGCTTCCTGGAAGCTTGATCAAGCAATCATTTAATATCACTTCCAGCAGATCTGTGGTTCCAGGACTCTCCTTTGGATAATGCACAATTTAGGGATTTGGGATATCCTCTGCTACTGCTGAAGGGAGCTTTTCAGGAATCCTTGAAAAGATGCAATAAGTTATCTGACTCAGATGGTGTCAGGAATACAATTTAGACATTTGGAGCCTTATGTACTTTTGCATTTGTACACCCTACAATCAAGCACTAAATAACATCTTTGCTCAGGGTTGGTGGCTCTTTGGATGGTGTATTAGTTACCCAGGGTGGCCATACCAAATTACCGTAAACTTGGTAATTAGCTTAAAACAGCACAAATGTATTCTCTCACCGTTCTGGAGTTCAAGAGTCCAAAATGAAGGTGTCCTTGGGGTTGGTTCCCTCCAGAGGTCAGAGGGAGAATCCATTCCATGCCTGTCTCTTAGCTTCTGGGGGCTGTTGGCAACCCTGGGTGTTCCATGGCTTGGGGCTGCATAACTCCAATCTCTGCCTCTACCTTCACATGGCCTTCTCTCTGTGTCGCTGTGTCTTTCCTTCTCTGTCTCTGATAAGGACACTAGTTATTGGATTTAAGTCCAATCCTGATTCAAGATGATCTTTTCTCAAGATCCTTACCTTAATTACATCTGCAAAGACCCTTATTCCAAGGAAAGTCAAATTCTGAGGTTCAAGGCAGACATATTTTTAGGGGCCACAATTCAACCCGTACAAATGGATATTCAATATTCTGGGTTATTTGTTCAGGATTACAGTGGATTGGGGGGTGGGGGTGGCCAGTGTTATTAGAGGCCTAAACAGCGATGGTTCTCAGAATTCCTTAGTACTCTATGGCAGGACTTCTCTTAGATTTCCTTTGGGGTTGTTGTGGGCATCATTATCTGAAATAATCTCCTTAGATGGTTATATAGTCACTGATGTTTAAAATTTCTCTTGTCAAAATTTGAATTTTTAAAATTATTGTCTACTCCAGGATCTTCCTATCACAGGAATCACTTTATTCTGTAGATTACTACACTTGGAAGCATATTATTCTTTAATTGGGAACCAGCAACATATAATCTCATATTTGCACCTACATTTATGGAAAGTCCTCCTTGGTTGTAGAGTGAAATAATCCCATCCCATCGACCATTCGGGAGACACTTGGTGCTGAAGTAGACGAACAGGCCTTTTAATTTTTTTTTTACCTTCCTCTGTGTTCCCTTCATCAGCCAAGACCTAAAGTTTAACTTTAATTCAGGTTCTGCCCTGGATTTGCACTTCTCAACTTCTTCAGCACAGTTGATATTTTTGACCAGATAATCTTGTTGTGGGGCCATCTTGAGTTTTGTAGGATGTTTAGCACCATCCCTGACTTCTACCAGCTGGATGCCGATAGCACATCCACTGTTCCCAGACATGAAAACCACAAATATCTCCAGACATTGCAAATGTCCCGTAGGGAACAAAACTCCATGTAGCTGAGAATCACAGATCTAGAAGATGTAAGGCTAGTGAGAGGAAAGGGGCCACACTAGGATACTGGTCTGAGCAGAAGTAAAATTATTGGGAAGTTAAATTGAATCCACAGGATTCATTCTAAATAGCTTAGAAGTTTCCACAGAACGCCAGAATTAATCCAATCACCCAGAGATTCTTCTGAACTGACACCAGGCTATGGTCAAAGCAGTGGGGATTACACTGGGATTCATGGCTTAAGTTGGTCTCAGCTGGATCCACATGTCTAGGAATGGGGTGGGTATGTCAGATGTTCCTTGGCTGTTTGAATTGGGTCTTCAAGAGGAACCAAATTCTTACTGGTATTTAGCTGGGTCATAAGCCCATTTAATAGGTTTTATTTTTCAAATATGTTATCAAAAGTTAAAAGTGAAATGTAAAAGGAAGTACATCATACCAAAAAATATGTGACCATTCAAAATGATGGTTTGGGGGAAGAAAAAAAGAGAGTAACGGTTGTAATCCATAGGTCTGTCTACTTATAAGGTTGGCTCCCTATCTCTATTTTGACTCTCAAAGCTCTCTTCCCTGAAAGAAAAAAAGAATTACATCATTTTCCTTTCCCTGTGAGATACAGGGTAATTAAAAAGCAAGATCTATGAGTAAGATGCCAGTTTGTTGTGTTTTTTTTTTCCTTTATTGTGCTTTAGGTGAAAGGTTACAAAGCAAATTAGTTTATTAAACAGTTAATACACAAATTGTTTTGTGACACTGGTTGCCAGTGTGATGTGTCAACACTCTCCCCTTCTCTGCCCCAGGTTCCCTCTTTCCATTCGTCCAGCTTTCCTTTCCCTTCCTGCCTTCTGGTCTTTGTTTTTGGGCTGGTGTTCCCCATAGTCTCCTATGCATGAATTGAATTATGAAGCCCGTTCCTCACATGTTATTGTTGGCCCTCTAGACCTATCTAAACATACTGAACACTTCACAAATTTGAGTGTCATTCTTGTGCAGGGGCAATGTTGATCTTCTCTGTATTGTTCCAATTTTAGTATATGTGCTGCCAAAGTGAGCACTGTCTTCCAAATCTCTTGACATAGATGAGTGAGCACCTCCAGTGCTGCGTCTACTTGTTGAAACATCTCAATTGGTATTCCATTAATTCCTGAAGCCTTGTTTTTTGCCATTCCCTTCAGTGCAGCTTGGACTTCTTCCTTCAGTACCATAGGTCCTTGATCATATGCTACCTCCTGAAATGGTTGCATGTCAGCCAGTTCTTTCTGATACAGTGACTCTGTATTCCTCCATCGTCTTTTGATGCTTCCCGCATTGTTTAGCATTTTCCTTGTAGAATCCTTCAGTATTGCAACTCGAGGCTTGAGTCTTTTCTTCAGTTCTTTCAGCTTGAGAAATGCTGAGCATGTTCTTCCCTTTTGGTTTTCTAACTCTAGATCTTTGCACATTTCATTATAATACTTTGTCTTCTCCAGCTACCCTTTGAAATCTTCTGTTCAGCTTTTACTTCATCATTTCTTCCGTTCACTTTAGCTACTCGACATTCAAGAGCAAGTTTCAGAGTCTCTTCTGTCATCCACTTTGATCTTTTCTTCCTTTCTTGTCTTTTTAATGACATCTTGCTTTCTTCATGTATGATGTCCTTGATGTCATTCCACAACTCGTCTGGTCTTCTGTCATTAGTGTTCAATGTGTCAAATCTATTCTTGAGATAAATTGATTTGAAAGACCCCAGTTACTCAACGTTTTTGTCTGTAGACCATTTTATCTTAATGTTCTTGTCGGTGACTTGTGAGTCATAAAAAATACTTTTTTACTTAGTGATAATATTCTCTCTGGCTCATAATTATTATTTTTTTTTTGCTACAGAAAATCTCAAACATGTACAAACATTGATAGCATAGTATAATGAATCCCCATTTATCCATCTCTCAGCTTCAACAAGTATGAGCTTAGGGCCAATCTTGTTTCATCTACATCTCAACTCACTCTCTCCACTCCTATCTCCAGAATTATTTTAAAGCAAATCCTAGACATCACATCATTTTATTCATAAATATTTTGTGTTTCTCTAAAAAATAAGGATATTTAAAAATACAACTACACTACCATTGTCACATCTAAAACTTAAAATTCACACTTTAATATTAACAGATAAGCTTCTTTGTTTTCGGTGTTAAAGTTGTTTGTTCATATCAAGATCCAAATAGAATCTGTACGTTGCAGTCGTTGATACGTCTCCAAAATCTCTTTTAGTCTATAGATTCTCCATTTTTGTCTCTTTTTAATATTACAATATAATTTCTTGAAGAAAATGAGTTGCTTTTCCAGAAGGGTTTCCCACAGTCTGAATGTTGCCTGGATGTTGCTGACTGCATCCCCTCATATCATTTAATATGTTTCTCTTCCCCTGGTACATTGTTCATAGTTCGATCTAGAGGCTTCAGGTTTGATTTTTTTTTTCGTCAAGAAAACTTCATAGTTAATGTTATGTACTTACATGGGAGATCTAGCTGTCTTTTGTGATGTTGGAGCTCTGGTGGCACAGTGGTTAAACACTGGGCTGCTAATTAGAAGGTTGGTGGTTCGAACCCACCAGCCACTCCACAGAAGAAAGATGTGGCAGTCTGCTTTTGTAAAGATTACAGCCTTAGACCCCATGGGGCAGTTCTACCCTGTCTATAGGGTCACTATGAGTAGGAATTGACTTGATGGCAACAGGTTCGGTTTGGTCTTGTAATGTTAGCAGCCACTGATGTTCACTGCTACCACTGCTAAACGGTGAACCTCCAATTCTTTCATTTCTTCTTCATCTACCAGTTGGAATACTTCTGTAAAGAGAAACTTTCCTTCATCCATGGTTGGTTAATCTGAGGTGTAATCGTTATAAAAAGAAAGAATAGATGTTTGATCTTTATTTCTCAGTTTTCAAAATAAGGAATTGAATGCATAGTGCTCTCAAAGGTGCTCATTGAGAATTCCAGGTCTCAGCTACACAAACGTAATTATCATTTGTTGTATCCACAATACACTAGAACGGTCTCAGAATAACAATGCCAACATTACTACCAACAATATAATTACTGAAAACAATTTAAGAATTTTATGTAGTACCTTTTTTTCCCTTTGGTTATAAACCACTAGGGAGGTAAGTCAAATTACTGTGTTTTCAATGGAATACTACAAAATGATAAAGAACAACGATGAATCTGTGAAACATCTTATAACATGGAGGAATCTAGAAAGTATTATGCTGTGTGAATTTAGTCAGTTGCAAAAGGACAAATATTGTAGAAGACCACCATTATAAGAACTCAAGAAAATGTTTAAACACAGAAGAAAACATTCTTTGATGGTTACAAGGGTAGGGAGAGAGGGAGGGGGTATTCACTAACTAGATAGTAGACAAGAATTATCTTAGGTGAAGGGAAGGACAACACACACTACAGGGGAAGTCAGCACAACTGGGCTAAACCAAAAGCTAAGAAGTTTCCTGAATACAACCAAACACTTCAAGGGACAGAGTAGCAGGAGCAGGGGTCTGGGGACCATGCTTTCAGGGGACATCTAGGTCAACTGGCATAACAAAGTTTATTAAGAAAATGTTCTGCATCCTACTTTGGTGAGTGGCATCTGGGGTCTTAAAAGCTAGTGAGTGGCCATCTAAGATGCATCAATTGGTCCCAACCAACCTGGAGCAAAGGAGAATGAAAAGCACCAAAGACCCAAGGAACATATTAGCCCAAGACACAGAAAGGGCCATATAAACCAGAGACTCCATCAGCCTGATACCAGAAGAACTAGATGGTGCCCGGCTACCATCAATGACTGCCCTGACAGGGAACACAACAGACAGTCCCTGATGGAGCAGGAGAAAAGTGGGGTGCAGAACTCAAATTTTAGTGAAAAAGACCAGACTTAATGGTTTGACTGAGACTGGAGGGACCCCGGAAGACATGGCCCCCGGCCTCTCTGTTAGCCCAAAACTAAAACCATTCCTGAGGCCAACTTTTCAGACAAAGATTAGACTGGATGATGTGACATAAAATGATAGTCGTGAACAGTGTGCTTCTTAGCTCAAGTAGATACGTGAGACTAAATGGGCAGCTTCTGTCTGGAGGCGAGATGAGAAGGCAGAGAGGGTCAGGAGCTGGTTAAATGGACACGAAATCTGGGATGGAAAGGAGGAGTGTGCTGTCACAGTATAGGGAGAGCATCTAGGGTCACATAACAATGTGTGTATAAATTTTTGTAGGAGAAACTAACTTGAATTGTAAACTTTCACTTAAAGCACAATAAAAAAAAGAAACAAATCACTGTGTTTTAAAGTCACTTAGCATACTCTATGTATGATTCCATCACCAACTCAGTACACAATGAAATTACTCATTCCCTTTCTACAAATATTTTGAATATTGTATTGTTCAGTATTCTCTGGTTCCTGCCACAGGGATTTAATATTTTAGGTAGGGAGATAAATGCCTATTATTGACGAAGGAGCCTTCCAAAACAAAATGTCAGTATGTGCAACTTGAAATGAGGGAGGGTAGTGTGGTTAACAGAGGAAATCAGAAAGAAAAGACTAAGAAAATTAGTCTTTATCTAATATTCTACGAAAAGAAGAAGGAAAAAAAATGCTTGAGCAGAGTAGGAAGCAGTGTGTATGTGAAAAGAACATTGCATTAAAAAGCAAGCTAGCTGAATTCTTGTCCCAGTTTAGCTGTTAATTCATTGTGTGACCTCAGCCAGTCACTTAGTTTTTCTGGTTCTCAATATTCTTATATATAAGTGAAAGTGACTAAAATGTCTGTTTGTTTGTTGTGAACCTTATTTCACTAAAAATGTGGAGAAAACTAAGTAGTGGTTGGAATGGTTATTGATGAGCCAGTCTACGATATTTATTACAGATGACTTCCAGGGGGAATATCTTATCTCTTTTGTGTACGTCTTGAATGCTCACTTATAAAAGTTCTATACAAACAAACCTACAAATGAAAACAACTGGAGATTAGACTTACACCAACAAGATTTCTCCTGCTCTAATTTCAGTCCTACTTTTACTCTTTGAGCAGTTTCAAAAGTATATTGACTCCTAATATTTAATTAATTACTAAAAAATAGATTTAATTAAATATATACTTGCTTGTAACTATGAGATTCTCATAGTAGATATAACTTTATACTCATAAGATTTTTATCTATTTCTTTAAATATGAATTAAACTTGGTTTTCTCTTTTTTCCCCCTAGGATTTCAAGCACACAAAGTCGTTCATAATTTAAAAGAACTGTACCTTTGAGATGCGACAAAACAAAAATATAATTGTCACATGAGTTATTAAAAATTGTAAAACTTGGCTTTGTCTTCCATTTGCAAAGAGGTACATGAAGAAATGAAATTGGTATCTTATCATTTTTGTGAACCTCTAAATCACCTGAAATTGTTATCATTTTAAACAAATAGTTTGTGAACACTTAAAATACAGTCTAATTTCTTGTGTCTGGAGGATGTTAAGAGCATCAAAATACTCTGTAATATTCTGGGATTTGTGAAATGTTAACAAATGTTCTAACTTCTAGAAAAAATTACTAAAATATCTCGTATTGTCTGTGCAATCAGTACGTGGAACATGAAGAGATCAACTGTACATACTCCCTATGCAAGGGTCTGATTTAAGGGATTCAGAAAATACTGACAGATGCAGAAAGAACGTCTGGTCTAATTTCTACCAGAATCCTCTTTTCTCCCCTAATACAATCCTTGTTCTGCTGCTCATTTATCACTAATATATCCGCAGAAGGGAGGTAGTGGGGCTGCATCTTATTTCCAGGGATCTGTGCTCTGTTTACTTTCATTTCTGAGAACCAAAAGCAACATGGAGAAAAACACCTCACGGCCAGAGCCCCCAAGATGTGCCCTGTAGGCCTCATCCGGTGTTTGACATTTATTTCTTCCTTAAACATAATTTTGAGAGTCAAACACAAACCCAAGTGGCTTCGTTCACCCCTGGGACGGCCTATTGCTGTTTCCATCCCCATCAAGCCTCTTTAAAGAGGATCAGTGAGCTCTGGGGTACCCACCATGGCCTGGAGCTCGACTTCGGAACTTGCAAGACTGGAGCCTCCACATAACCCTGCAGATAATCTTCCCTGCATGAGCGGTGATGGCATGTCTCTCTGCCTCTTAGAACCATATAGTGAAATTCTGGGTTGGGCTGAGCCCCTTGCTGTTAGGGCAAGAGATTTGACAATCTTGATTATAGCGGATCAAGGATCTGTAGGAAAGAAATGGTTGTCGGGCAAATGAAATGAGATAAAAGAACTCATTGTGGTTCCCTGCGCTTGACACGCAGTGAGCACACTAGTGACAGTAATTCAAGTGAAAAGTGCACATAATAATCTGGTTTCTCAACTGATTAATCACAAAGCCCCCCCCCCAAAAAAAAAAAACAATAAACCTGTTGCCATTGAGTCGATTCTGACTCAAAAGTGAAAATCTCCATGATCGTTTTTATAGTGAGAACAATTAGGCTGTGTTAAAAAGTATAGTCAGTCACCGGGTGGTGTGAACAGTCAAGCTCTCGACTACTAGCCAACAGGTTGGCGGTTCAGACCCACCCAGAGGTATCTTGGAAGACAGGCCTGGTTATCTGCTTCTGAAAGGTTATAGCCATCAAAAACCCTAGGGAGTAGTTCTGCTCTACACCTGAGGCCTCCACGAGCTGGAATCAACTCAACAGCAACTAACAACGAAAGCATAATCATTTATAACTTATTTTAATTATTTCGTATTAAAAACAAAATACGCTGAAGGCACTTCCTGCTTTTCTAGGCAAATCCGGATGAAAAAGACACTCACTGCCTTTGACAAACTTTGAGCACAGTTAGGCTGTTTTTAAGAGTTCAGATTTCATATAATGGGATCTTCCAGCTCAATAGGCAAAGAAAATCCCCAGGATTCACTGAACAAATGAATGCATCGCACTGACTGGGCACCTACCATTGACTGTGGACACCAGGTCATCGGCAAGATGCCTGTTGTCAGAAGGTCCCCTTTGACTTGTCTGTGGCATTTGATGCTCCTCACCAGACCTCTTCCTAAAGGTCTGGCTTCTATAGCATGGCCCTGCCCCAAAGGTCAAATGATCACCTCATTAGTCAGAGGGCCGAAAACAATTTCTGTAATGGGCCGGAGAGTGGATATTTTAAGCTTTGCAGGCCAGAAGTTCTCTCTCATAACTAGTCAACTCTGCCATTGTAGCAAGTAAACAAATGGGTGTGGCAGTGTTCCAATAAAACTTTACTGACAAAAATAAGCAGCAGACAGGATTTGCCTGCAAGCATAGTTTCCTACCACATGGCAGCGAACCATGATAAAACGTATCTATTTGGTTTAGTAAGAAATCAGTGAAACGTGGCCTGTGCTTTGATTGAAGAATTTTCTTTGGTTTGAGGAATGCTTTCTTCTTGCATTGTCAAGTGCCAAGAGAATATGTGAGTCTGAAAGATGCCTCTTCAGGCATACCTACCATCACCCAAGATCTACTGCTTCATTCTCAATTATACAAATCTATGTTATAGGGGGGAAAAATGTAGTGCCTTAGGTTTACTAATAGATGAAAAGCTGCTTTTTAAGACCTCATAGGCCATAGGATTCCTCTTATGCAGTGTTAACATCTAACACTTTCTTTGTGTCAAATATATATTATACATTATATTAAAAATATTGTATGCAGCTAAGTGAAAATCACTGTGTAAACACCACTTTCTCCCACCCAAAGGATACAGTACTGAGCACTGACTTTCTAATTTTTAAAAGTATATTCACCTGTGGGTCAGTGGTATCTGGACTTGTATTTCCATTTGCTTCAATGTGAGGGACTTGAACACTAACAATTGGTAAAATCCGATTGTAATTCTTAAAGGCATTTTGATTTTATTTGCCTGCAAGGAAATTGTGTTGTATAAGGATTAGGGCTTTGGAATCTTTAATAGCAAGTTTTGTTCTAAAAAAAGAAAAAAATCATTATTGTTGCTGTTGTAACTAGATTTAACTTATTTTTATTTGGGGGTTTAACCTAACTAAATCTGGAATGAATGATTGTTTTTCAATACAGCTTTGCAAAGAACTTTCTTCATCTCACAGGTGGTTTCATTTGATTACTGTATTAAATGCATTTCTAAAAATAGCTGAACTTGCTAAAATTTTAGCCCCATTCAACAATGCAGCGGACATGTCATCCACCTATTGTTGTTAAATAAAACCCGGGAAACTGCACCCTCTTACCAACGTAGCTACAAGGCTAGCTCCTGATCTGCTGAAGATTAGAATCTCATCATGTCTCAGTCTGGATGCCTCTGAAAAATCGCTTTGAAAATAAAAAGCAAAATCTATTGAACGCTTTATATATGTCAGAATAAAGGGAGGTGAAGTTGTATAAAGTCCCATTTATCTCAACAGTGCTATCAAGTGGGCAGTGTCATCATTGTACAGATGAGGAAACAGGCTCAGAGTTAGTGACTTGGCAAGGTCTCAGAGTTGGAGGGTGAAGACTTGGGTGGTAGGAACCAGTCTGTCTGATCCAGAACACCCAATACTTTTCCCTCTGTGCCCAACACTTCTTCCTTTTAAATTCTCATGTCCTTCATTCTCACCACACCTGCCCTTTACCCTCAGAAATTTCTAGCCTACAACACCCAGTCTCTCAGCCTAAACACCTCTCTGCATTTCTTTTGGAGCCCTGGTGGTGCAGTGGCTAAGAGCTCAGGCTGCTAACCAAAAGGTTGGCAGCTGGAATCCACCAGCCGCACCTTGGAAACCCTCCGGGGCAGTTCTACTCTGTCCTGTAGGATCACTATGAGTTGGGATCGACTCGATGGCAACTAGTTTTTTTTGGCCTTTCTTTTACTCCCTGTTGTTGTTGTTAGGTGCCATCAGGTCAGTTCCAACTCATAGGCACCCTATATACAACAGAACGAAACACTGCTCAGTCCTGCACCATCCTCACAATTGTTATGCTTGAGCCCACTGTTGCAGCCACTGTGTCTATCCCTCTCGTTGGGGTCTTCCTCTTTTTCACTGACCCTCTACTTTACCAAGCATGATGTCTTTCTCCACGGACTGGTCCCTCCTGATAACATGTCCAAAGTGGACCATTTCATTCTCTCCTACTCTTCCCTCACTCTCCATGACCAAATCTCTAACCATAGTTTTTAAAAAAAGAAGCTAACCATAATGAATACATTTAAACTCCACCCCCACCACTGCCCTTCCGAAGTCTCCCCACGTTTAACCTCTCACTTATTCGCTGGCCGTTTGATTACTCTGTCACTACTTCAATCCTTTTATCTCAGGCCTTTGTTACTGTCTCTCTTTATGACTTCTGAACTCTGTTCCCTCAAGTGTCCCCTCTCTTAGCTATAATTTCAATCTTTCCTGTGCTAAAGCCTCCATCCCACTCTAGTCTCTTCCTTCTTCCACCCCATCCCTCAGTGTCTACCAGATTACTCTTTTCAACAATGTGAACTCACCTCTCCCTCTCCCTTCTGCTAAAAACCTTTTGCTCTTTTCCTGTACATGGTCTATTTTTTAAAACCCAAGTCCAGTTCATTTACATTATGCAAATTTACTCCATGAATTAAGGTTAGACAAATTATTTTTCCCTTATCCTACTCTATTTTGTGTCCATTTCTACATACTTCTTAAAAAGATCTTAAAATATTTTTCCAACTTTCAAATTTTAAAATTTAATTTTCCACATCTTGCTTCTTGTTCTGTAAGTTTTTGGGACACTTTTAGCAGTAAGAGTTGATAAGAAAATTTAAAATAAACTATAAATTTTTATTTGTTGTTACTTTCTATTTAATTTTGTTTATTCCTTTTTAATATATGATGTTTTTATTTGACCAAGTTTGAAAAAAATGTACTAAGACATATGTCTTGGTTGTTGTCTTAGTTATCTAGTGCTGCTATAACAGAAATACCGCAAGTGGATGGCTTTAACAAAGAGAAATGTATTTTCTCACAGTCTAGTAGGCTACAAGTCCAAATTCAGGGCATCAGCTCCAGGAGAAGGCTTTCTGTCTCTGTTGGCTCTGGAGGAAGGTCCTTGTCATCATCAATCTTCCCCTGAACTAGCAGCTTCTCTGCACAGGAACCTCAGGTCCAAAGGACACACTCTGCTCCCGCCACTGCTTTCTTGGTGATATGAGGTCCCCCTATTCTCTGCTTGCATCCCTTTCCTTTTATCTCTTGTAAGATGAAAGGTGGTGCAGGCCACACCCCAGGGAAACTCCCTTTACATTGGATCAGGGATGTGACCTTAGTAAGGGTGTTACAATCCCACCCTAATCCTCTTTAACATAAAATTACAATCACAAAATGGAGGACAACCACACAATACAGGGAATAATGGCCCAGCCAAATTGATACACACATTTTTTTGGGGGACATAATTCAATCCATGACAGTTATCTAGTGCTGCTATAACAGAACTATCACTAGTGGATAGCATTAACAAAGAGAAATTTATTCTCTCACAGTTTAGGGGGCTAGAAGTCCCAAATTCAGGGTGCCGGCTCCAGGGGAAGGCTTTCTCTCTCTGTCGGCCCTGGGGAAACGTCCTTGTCATCAATCTTCCTCTGGACGAGAGGCTTCTCAGCTTAGGGACTCCGGGCCCAGAGGACACTTTTTGATCGTGGTGCTGCTTTCTTGGTGGTATGAAGCCCACCATGTCTCTGCTCATTTCTCTCTTTTATATCTCAAAAGAGATTGGTTTAAAACACAACCTAATCTTGGACATTGAGTCTTGCCTCATTAACATAACTGCCTCTAATCCTGCCTCTTTAACATCATAGAGGTAGCATTTACAACACATAGGAAAATCACATCAGA